AATCTCTGTGGTGTGTATTTGATTAATATTTCTGTTTAATATATTAGAGTCATTAGTTTCCCCCATGAATCAAGACAGTGATAATATTTGAAAGGTAAGATATGATTTAAAATAAGAGGTATCAAAATTGTACTCGTATTTTTAATATATTTTTTTCGCTAGGGCTTGGGGGCAGGGAAGGAGATACATCTCTTAATGTGAAATATGCCAGGAAGCAGAGGAGGCTAAACTGAAACTTACTACCAGTTGGTGCCTAATAGGCACTGCTATGTATGTCCTGGTGACATCTTAAGTGTAAGGTAAATGTGTACCTATGGCATATTCATTTTGCTGTGGTTGTTATGTGTTCTATAGAAGGAGAGATAGTGTGGCACATACAGTGGTGCAGACTTCTCCAGATATTTTTGATTCCATCTCCCATCATCCTTGACCCCATTGGTCATGCTGGCTGATAGGAGTCAAAGTCCCACACCTGTTCTTCCTCTCTGCCAGTGGTTATTCCTTTAAAAATACATTTTTAGGGTCCGTTCAACATTGCTGAAATGCTTAATTATTTAAAGAAAATTCCCACCCCACTTTTCAGTCCCCCACAAAGGCCGCCAAAGATGGCTTCCAGAATAGAAACACAAAAATTAAATCACTGAAATGGTAGCATGAAAGGAGCATAAAACAACTCGATCAGTTTTTCAAAAATGTTGGTACTGCAGATTTAAAACAGATTGAAAGACTGGGGAAATAATACGGATACCCCCGCTCCCCACCCTGTCTAGTTTATGGCCTGGACAATCCACTAAGGCATTCTAAACATATTCCCTTAATTAATTGACTTGTTTATTAAACATTTATTTCATAAGGATTCTTCATTTTCATGAAAGGATTACATGTAGGCTTAATGGGGCTGTTGCATTATCCCGCTGTCAGCATAAACAATTACTTTTATAGAGAACCCTCAGAATATATTTTTTATGATCATTGTCTGCTTGGGAAAACTGCATATGTTTAATAGAGAAAATATTATTTGGTATCTAGTCCCCATTGATAGGCACTTTAATACAGCCTTCGATCAAAAAGATGAACAAATACTTTCAGACAGACCCTGGGATTACAGTTAATCATCCTCTCCACATTGGCTGCACTTATGTCTCTGCCGGGAAGAGCATAATTTTAGGAGAATCTCCCATTTAGAAGGTGGGATTCACTTAATGTGGGGTGCATCAGCTAAATCCTTGCACAAGGACTTCTATTTGTGCAGCGGGACTCCCCCCTCCTTTAATTGCCCGGGGGAGGGCGGGTGAACCCACAGAACAGCATGGAGGGGGGGAGAGAGAAGATGGATTGTTCCATCTGGCAAGCTGAAAAGCTTGTGTAGATTGAATAATTGGAAAAGCCTGCCGTTGAATTCTACCCATAGTCGTCGTCGTCGTCCCCCACCCACCCCAACTGCTAATCAGTAAAAGTAAACCTGCAGTTGATGCAGTATTTGGAAAGGAAAAATAACAAATCTCCTTTCACATAAGATGACGACAATGCTCTTAACGGGGCATTGAAGGGTCCCTTCAAAGTAGTAAAAAACTGAGGTTTGTTTTGTTCCCAGCCAAACTGGATCCTGTTCCCCACACCCATGGTGTGGTTACACTACAAGGGGGTCTGAGCCTCCCCATATGTCAGAGCTCCAAACCTTTCCCTCTCTTACCCAATTTGCTACATTTCTCTGTACTCCTGGCCCCTCGAAGCCATGATAGCAACGTGGTCTTGGGACGCAAGTGTATATTTGTCTGTATGGTTCTTTTAACTAAAATATTCACTTACAAAACTGTTTTACAATACTTTATCAATAGTTTGAAATACACCTTAGCGGCTTCAGGGTGTGAAATTGCAGCTTGTTTCACTGCATGGCTCTTTGTTATTAAAACACGATCTTTGATATGATCATGGGCAGAGATCTTGGTGTCCCCTCTCCCCAGGCTATCGCCTACGAACAAAAACCACAGGTGTCATTTCCTTCTTTTCAGCTTTCCAATGTTGCATGCAGACATGTGCTATACCCGCCCCGCCCCCATGGCAAATTTATTATTTTTCCAGAATATGTAAAATATAAGAGGATAAAACTCCAGTTGTTTCTGTGGCTGGTTCCCCCCCCCCCCCAGTGGCATAATGTCTACGCTTGGCTATATGTGAGCCTGGGGTAGGTAGGTAGGGACCTGACATTGGCAGGGGTTGTGAAAGTGCATGAGAGAGAGAATGGTCTTAGATAACGGCTAGATGTATCATAGGTAGGACTATCCAGAATCTTGGCCTTTGATAAAGAATCAGCAACCTCTTTTCCTTCAGATGAATGAAATTCAGAAGCATGTATGAGTCATCCTTTTTAAGTATATCAACTTTCTTTCCATTGCCAGAAAAATATGGCTAACTGCACTGTATTTCCCCCAGTGTTCTTGAAGTAAAGTTATATTCATAAATTCTGACAAAGAAAGAGACATGCAGGCAATGGGATATACCAAGCAATTGAACAGGAATTGAGATGTCTATATAAGAAATATGTTACTGCTCTTTCCAAATGGCAAGGGGGAAAAAAAGGCAAGTTCCCCTTTGTAGCTGCGGTTTCAGGAAATAACTTCTCTTGTCTTCGGGATTATAATGAAATTGTGTCAGGTTAATGTTGGAGACCATAACAAACGACCATCTTACATATCAACAAAGCAGGGCCAATACTCTTTTTTTAAAAAAAATGTCAACGTGCCACAGCTCTAATTTTTACTCTTCATTCAACTATCGGAGGAAAGTTGTTCCCTGTTACTTAGCCCATCTGCAGTGCTGAAAGACACTGATCTGTGGCCCAGGATATCCATACTTGCATGCCTTTTATGCAACCAAGAGAGGGACGTGGGTGGCACTGTGGTCTAAACCACCAGGCCTCTTGGGCTTGCCAATCATAAGGTCAGCAGTTCAAATCCCCGCGATGGGGTGATCTCCCGTTGCTCTGTCCCAACTCCTGCCAACCTAGCAATTCAAAAGCGCAAGTAGACAAATAGGTACCACTGCAGTGGGAAGTTAAATGGTGTTTCCATGCGCTCTGGCTTCCGCCACAGTGTTCCGTTGTGCCAGAGTTAGTTTAGTCATGCTGGCCACATGACCAGGAAAAACTGTCTGCGGACAAACGCCGGCTTCCTTGGCCTGTAAGTGGAGACGAGCGCTGCACCCCATAGTCAAATTCGACTGGACTTAACCATCCAGGGGTTCAAAGGCAAATCTAAAAAAATGTAGTATAAACACCAACAACTGGGAAACACTGGCCTGCGAGAACAGCCTTTATCAAAGGTGTCATGGACTTTGAAGACACTAAAACTCAGAACGCAAGGGAGAAACGTGCTAAGAGGAAGGCACACTTGGCAAATCCACACCGTGATCAACTCCCACCCGGGAACCAATGTCCCCACTGTGGAAGGACGTGTGGGTCCAGAATTGGCCTCCACAGTCACTTACGGACTCATTGTTAAAATCCGTGTTTATGGAAGACAATCTTACTCGGCTACGAGTGATCACCAAAGAAGACCTTTACCTTATACAACCAAGATACTAGATGTTAATTTCTTTCAGTGCAAACAAATTCTAAGTTAAGTTTGTTGGTGTTCTAACACAGCGTCAGAGAGTCTCACACATTAGTGGTGAATAGTTTAATTTCATTTTACTTACTTTTACAAAACAAAAACTGCCCTTCTGGGCACAAAACCCACAAGCAGACGATAACAAGATAAACCTAAGAACCACCCAATTAAAACCACACTGCGCCCCCTTAAACTGTGCAATAACAATTAGTCAAAGCACATCAAATCCTCAAAATTGGATTAAAACTTAAAATGTCTTAAGAGTTCTCTTAAAACCCAACACTGATAGTCTGCCAGTCTGTCAGTCTGTCTCTCATTGCACTGCATTGTGATATAATGTGTTGTGTTTGTACCTGATCCTACCATGAAAGCTCAGTGTGAGTTAATAGCAAAATCCAAAACATATACAGCATTGTTTTCAGAATTTAAACATGCACACTAAGTGCAGGATAGCAAGATCAACATATTCCCAGTAGAACTACCCAATGCCAACCCAACATGTTTAAAACCAACTTCCACACCTTAAACCATTTCAAACTTCTCCCTTACCTGTTACATATGGAGGGAAGATCCCACCCAAGTTACTTCATATTCTTCTTCTTGACCTGAGAAGAGTTTGGTACTAGAGGGATAAGGTTTCATATGAGCTCCAGAGCTTGTTGGAGTTAATTTGGAGTTGTCTACCTGCCTGACTTTGCTACCTCTTCATGCCCTGTGACATTGTATTTTACAAATACAAATACATTGTTATTGTATTTTAGTGTTTCGTTGGAAGCCGCCCAGAGTGGCTGGGGGGACCCAGCCAGATGGGCGGGGTATAAATAAATTATTATTATTATTATTATTATTATTATTATTATTGGTCATTAGACATGGCACAAGGCCATACATCATTCTGAACATGGCCACCATAGCTTCTGATGCCCTTCTACAGCAGATTCCCATATGAGGAGAGCATGAGAAAGGACCACAACATATTTGAGATGGTGTTCATCTGCTTTTGGGGTAATCCTAGTCCTGATTGGTCAAATACAGGCATGCCCAACTTTCAAGAGACTGCGATCTACTCCCACTATATAAAAAATGGCAGTGATCTACCAAAGTTCTTGAGCTTTCTTGAGGGGGGGACAGGATCCCACGATTGGGTGCAATCGATCAAGGACCCACCATGATCTGCCAGTAGATTGCGATCGACCTGTTGGACATCCCTGGTCTAATATTTTTGATTGGTTTGTTCTCTGTGTCTGCCATTTGTCAAAAATGCTAATTTCCCCCATAACATTATATTGCAAAAACATCTGTGCATTTGATGTACTAGTCTTGTAATTTTTCAGCCATACACAAATCTTCTAAGTGTTTTTCAAATAGAACCTGAATCTGAAAAAAAACAATGAACAGTTTGATCTCAGTCAGTAGAGCATGAGACTTTTAATCTCAGGGTTGTGGGTTGGAGCCCCATATTGGGCAAAAGATTCCTGCACTGCAGGGGGTTGGACTGGATGACCCTTGTGATCCCTTCCAACTCTACAATTCGATAATTCTATTAACTAAACACTGACTGCCCTGCCTGCCACCCAACTGCTTATAGGGTCAGTGCCTACTCTCTCCCCAGACTCCTTAACCCTTATCAGCAAAAAAAAATTAGATACAGAAATTATCAACTACCGTATTTTTCCATGTATAAGACTAGGTTTTTTCCCTTTAAAAAATGTCAAAAATCAGGGGATGTCTTATGCACAGGGCCATCTCCCCCCATTTTCTTAAGTCTGAGTCTCCAGAAATAGGGGGCGTCTTATACATGAGGGCATCTTATAGACGGAAAAATACGGTAGTTCCTTATTCTGTCCATACAGGTTTGCTATGCATAATTATTATTTTAAAACATATTTTTTATTAAAGATTTCTTGGTTTACAAAAGTATGTGCAATGTCTCTTTTTTCAAGTTACATTTTTCTACAGATCAGTTTTATTTGTTGAGACATTAGTGTTACCTTAGGAAGAAAAGGGGGAAAGAGGTGGAGGGGACCATGGTGGGTGGGGGTGGGGTCGGGTGGCAATGCTTCTATTCTGCTTAATGTATGTGTGGGGTTTTGTGTCATTGTCGCTTGTGTGGGTTCTCTTTACTATTCGCTCGTGTCCCTTTGGTGGTGAGAGAGCTTGGGGTTGGCCTAGGGTGTGGTTGGTTGTTTATGATTGGCTGTGGTGAACTTTGCTTTCATGTGTGAGTGGGGCAGGTGGGTGTTTTCGAATCAGGTTAGCCATCTTGATTTGTGTGCTGTCGGCGGATTCTTGCCGTTGTCTCGTTGGGCTGTATATGCGATACAGGGGAGCTGCTATGCATAATTATGAACAGACTAGCAACAGAGAAGGGTTTCTGTTTTATTTTATATATTTTTGCACCTTTGATATGGTAAAGACTTGATTTGAGCAGAGGAAAAATTTGGCAAGTAGCTCTGAGGGTCCTTCTGGATTAGCATTATTTGGAAGCTGAGTATTTTCCTTCTCCTAGGCTGAAACACATACACACAGATTTATTTATTTAAAAAGTGAGTGGACAAGCAGCAGCAGAGCTATCCCACACACCAAGGCTAATTGCCCTCTCTGTTATGCACAGATGCAATATTGTGCTAAAAGGAGACTTAAGGGAGTATCATGAAAAGGCGGAGAATGCAGCTGTGACTTTCCTTGGCTGGCTTTATGGAAAGGCTTTTGGTTACATGTGTGTGCCTCTATTTGGGCGGAGGGGGGGTGTGAGCACACACATACAGAGACAGTGAATTTTGCTTTTATTTTCTCTATCCAATCAAAAACAGTACTACATTGTTCTTATCCCCTCCCCGCCCCCCATAGAACCAGAGTGAATTTTCCAAAATATAGTTCAGAGTTTGGGGAAAGGATTGATCTAAATAATCACTTAGGATCTCTTCCCCACCCTCCAAAATCTAGAAAAAAAATACTTTTTTTGCATAAATCCTTCTGATATTGTAAGCCTCTTCGAGGCTGGTTTCCCAAGGAAAAAGTGGACACAAATAAACTGTGACAATGGTGAGGAAGAAACAAATTCTTTTCATTAATAATATTCAAATTTCAATTTGTGGGTTTTTCCACAACAAATCTTGAACCCTACAGATACATTTTGTACTGCAGTAATAAACTGCTAATCCTCACCTATGACCTCTGTAAAGCTGTTGACCTTCTGACTAACACTGCAAGCTAAGGAGGAATGATAAACAACTGAGACAGTATAATTAAGACAAAACCAGGATTCATCATGTGGGAGAATGACATTAACATAAACCATCCCATGGTAACAAGAGCTATTTGAAAATCCAGTAGCATCACTTAGAAGTACAGCAGGCAATTAGTTTTAATTAAGTTCAAATTCTGACACATGGTTTTAAAATCCTTCTTTTTCAGTGCCCCCATAAACAAAAAACAAAAAATAGATCATTTTGTTCTGCCAACCAAAAAACAATGACACGGTTCTTGCCACAACTCTTAAACTGCCTTTGTAAACAACAACCCACAAAAATAATTTGAATGTATGAATTTTTTTGAATACAGCAGACATTACACTAGCATAAATATTCCCTCAAACAAAATTACAAGCCAAACCTGTCTCATTTCATCTTTGGAAACATACACAGACGAGGTATTTTTTGGGTGGAGGGGGGTGGGGGGGAAATAATCACTCTTGCAAAAATGTGCACTTCAAAGAACTATCTCAGACCGTATAGAACAGTAATCATTTATGCATTTAAAGCGAGGGCCTTTAGCTTGGTGGTAGAGAGCGTGCTTCCTGATTCAACCCTAATATCTGTGGGTAGGGTAGCAACAAGTGTTGGGTATATGTTTTCTTTTCTCCTTGAATGCACCAGAAGAAGTGGAAGACCTGCCTTGCATTTCTTTGCAGAGAATCTGTAAGACCATACAGAAGCTCCTGGATCAAAAAGACAATTGTCACTGAATATCACCATCTATAGGGATGCGGGTGGCACTGTGGGTTAAGCCACAGAGCCTAGGGCTTGCTGATCAGAAGGTCGGCGGTTCAAATTCCTGCAACGGGGTGAGCTCCCGTTGTTCGGTCCCTGCTCCTGCCAACCTAGCAGTTTGAAAGGACGTCAAAGTGCAAGTAGATAAATAGATACCGCTCCGGCGGGAAGATAAACGGCGTTTCCGTGCGCTGCTTTGGTTCACCAGAAGCAGCTTAGTCATGCTGGCCACATGACCCGGAAGCTGTACGCCGGCTCCCTTGGCCAGTAAAGCGAGATGAGTGCCGCAACCCCAGAGTCGTCCGCGACTGGACCTAATGGTCAGGGGTCTCTTTACCTTTATCACCATCTATATTTCAGCTTTCTTCTTCTTCTTCTTCTTCTTCTTCTTCTTCTTCTTCTTCTTCTTCTTCTTCTTCTTCTTCTTCGGCGATCACCTGTAGCTGAGTAAGGTTGTCTTCCATAAGCACGGTTTTAACAATGAGTCCGTTAGTGACTGTGGAGGTCAATTCTTGACCCACACGTCCTTCCACTGTGGGGACATTGGTTCCTGGGTGGGAGTTGACCACGGTGTGGATTTGCCAAGTCTGCCTTCCTTTTAGCAAGATTCTCCCTCGCGTCCTGAGTTTTAGTGTCTTCAAAGTCCATGACAGCTTTGGTAAAGGCTGTTCTCCAACTGGAGCACTCGCAGGTCAGTGTTTCCCAATTGTTGGTGTTTATACTACATTTTTTTAGATTATGCTTTCCATTTTTAATTTCGGAATAGAGTAGTTGCTTTGGAAGACGATCATCAGGCATCCACACAACATGACCAGTCCAACAAAGTTGATGTTGAAGAATCATTGCTTCAACACTGGTGATCTTTGCTTCTTCCACTACACTGATATTAGTTCGCCTGTCTTCAGCTTTATCTCTCACCAACACTAGCTATTCATTTTACAACTAGTTGATATGGAGGAATTGGCAGGAGAAGCTAGTCACAGCCCGCAGATAAGACATCATCACCTGCTAATCTTTGGAGATCAAGTTACTGTTAAGGGCAAAGGCAAGAGCTAGTGGGAGGGGCGGAATAACACCAAGCGTGACTTCCCACATGCTGTTTTGGGCTTTACACTTATCAAGGTTTCCCCTGACTTTCCACTACTAAAGAAAATAGTGATAGAGCAAAGAGCCCAATTCTGTCCCATTTCAGTCTTACTGGCACTGAGTCAGAGGTCAATTCCATTCCTTTATGAGTGGATGGCTGGAGAGGGGGGGAGGAGGAGGAAGAGAAGCATGAAAAATCCACGTTCAAATTGCACACACTTTTAAAGTGTTTATCAACACATTCATCCATAAAATACACATTATGTGCACACCTTTTCTGTAAAATATGCTCATTGATGTGCATGTTCTGCCCACCAGAACTACACTGAAAAATCCATAGAGGTATACAATCTGATTGAGAGTTGGGTTCTGATCTGCAAGCAGGTTCAAGAGTGTTGGATTGGGTTGATCTGCTGTGAAAAGTGGACCAAATTAATTCCTCCCCCACCTATATCTGAAAACAGCATCTATGAAGAAGCATACCATGTCTATTTTTGATAGTGTGCACTTAGGTTTTCACTGGTGCTAAATGTGTGTGTGCTTAAAAAAACCAAAACTTTTGCTTATGTGTCTCTCTGTATGTGGCAAGGAACACATCAAACAACCAAATAGAATGTTGAATGTTACTTTTACAATACAGTCTTATGCATGCTACTCAGAAGAAAGCCCTACTGAGTTTAATAGCCATTATTTCCAGGTAACTGTATGCAGAAGTGTAACTTTCTAAAGCCATCCTATGCATATTTACTCAGAAATAAGTCCTAATGTGTTGCATGGTACTTACTTCCAGGAAACTGTTCTTAGACTGTGTAGACATACATTTAAAGCACTTGACTTCTCCCAAAGAATCCTGGGAATTCTTGTTTCTTTAAGGATGCCTGAAATTGTAGCTCTGTGAGGGGTAAACCATTGTTCTCAGAATTATTTGGGAGGAATACTTTAAATGTATTGTGCATACTGTGTACACAGCCTCAGTCTGGCAAAACAATTTTAAATACAGTTGATATTCAGAAAATTTTAGAGACGTTAGATAGACAATATTCAAGTTTCGTGTAAGAAATGGCTAGCCAATTCATTACAAAGACATTCCCATATTTAATGGGAAATCTTCCAGGAATTTATTTAATATTTAAGATGACTGACCAATTTCCATTCAACAGCTTGAAGATGCTTATTTAATATTGGAAAAGATTAATGGGAAGTCTGGAAATGATGACAAGCTGAGAGAAAAGGCAGCTTCCAAAACCAGCACTCTTTACACCTCTTGGTACTGCATTTCACTTAATACAAACTAATGGGCAGTTGGGGAAAACTCTTGAAGTGATTCAAGAACCAGGTGAGACATTTGGTGGAGGCCCTTAGCTTCATTAACAGTCTTCCAGGCTCAGC